CCGTACATCAGCTTGCTTCACATGGCTTCGGGGCGGCCGAACATGCTCAGCATGTTTGGCCGACCGGAAGTGCAGAAGGAGTTCGACTCAGCCGATCCAACATCTGGATCGGCTGAGCCGACCCTCCGGCAGGCTACTCACTGCTGTTCGGTCTATTCTTATAGAATAGATGATATTCTAATATATGAGTGAATAGCCGAAACACCGATGTGTCTTTTTTTTTCTTTATTCTGAGACGATCGATGTCAGAATAGAAAAAAAGAAAAAAAATTCAATATGCAATAGCCAATAGTAAACTAGCATTGCACCCGCCCTCTGCTGATGGACCTGATGGAGAACTGCAGCAGAGGGTGGATACAATGCTAGTTTACTATTGGCTATTGCATATTGAAATGGCCAATAGTAATGTAGCAATGCTTTTCAATGGGATTTTTTTATTTTTTTATTCTGACATCGCTCCGTGTTTCAGCCGAGCCGATGCATATGCGTTCGGCTCGACTGAGCCGCTCAGCCACGTTCGGGAGCTGTACGGGCTATAGTGAATAGTCCATGCAGCACCACTTCGGTTCTACTGAACCAAAGGGGTCCTGGGGCCGAAGCTAGCCGAAGGATCGGCCGAAGCTACGGCTAGATCCTTCGGCAGCTTCGTGAATAGACCATTGTCTTTATATGGTTTATTTTTATACATTGCACATTGTCTTTCTCTGGTGCATGTTTATATATTACGCATTGTCTTTCTCTGGTGCATGTTTATATATTACGCATTGTCTTTCTCTGATGCATGTTTATATATTACGCATTGTCTTTCTCTGATGCCTATTTAAAATTTCACACTTCTGAGTAAAGAATTCTCTCTTTCTAGAGGTGCAAAAACTGTTTTAGATTTTTAAGCAAAGCTATAAAACACCTTTCATCATACGCAGAATAAGCTTCTACGAAGATATTGTGAAGAAATCTTTTCAATTTATAACACCAGTCTCTTCTGTCAGACAACTTTGTGGCACTGTGAATAATTTTTGTTACCAGTTTAGTGACAATGTAAATAATGCAAAACCAAGCTGTGTAAAGTCGATGTAAATCTGATCTGGAATACATTCATTTTACTAAAGCACTGTGTATCCTAAGCAATCGGCACCTTTGTTCCACAAAATTCTGTTCCGACCTCGGGGCGGCAGGGAGCAGAGGGGCGGCAGGGGTGTGGAATCCCCAATGCATAGTGGTTTTCTACATTCAGCCCTGCTTTGGGCAAGCAGTGCTAAATGTAGAGCGGAGAAGCTGCTCGTTCATTTACAAGTGATCTCGGTGATGTCCCCAAGATCACTTGTAATGAGACTGCAGGTAAAATAATGAAATAAAAAATTATTAAAAATAAAACAATAATACATGATAATTTAAATAAAAATGTAAACAAGTAAAAAAATAAATAAACATTAAAGACATAAGAAAGTGATAAAGTAAAAAAAAAAAAAA